CTGCAATAGGTACGGGTGCTCCAATGAAGTTTCTTTATATGAAAGATCCTATCTTTTTTTTCGATGAGGAATCACCTCCTTGAATGTTTTACACTTATTTAGTTACACCCTGTATATCTTGACACAATCATGTCAGTGGATTTGCAAAGACTGTTTCTCAAAAGCTTTGAACACTGTTCCGAACCAGAACCAGAACCAGAAAACAAATGTACACATCTCAGCAACTTTTGATGCTTTATAAAGCTCAGATACTTCTTTGAAGTATTTTTTTCATGTATGGAGTTCTGCCCACAAACATACCCTGAAGTTGCTGGATTCCATCCAGAAAAGGGCCATCCGCCTGATTGGGGACGCGAACATCACGTGTAACCTTGATAGCCTGGAACATCGAAAAAAGGTTGGAGATATGTCTCTCTTCTGTAGATAGTTTCATGGGAAGTGTTCAAGTGACTTGGCACATTTAATTCCACCAAGAACGGTACATATCAGAAATACGCGACGGACTGTGGCTGCCCATCGTTTTGAGTTTCAACTCATAACACCTCAAACTTCACTCTTAAAGAACGTTCATGTGGACGTTTTTCCAAATGAATTTAATTTCCAGCGATTCAAATCCAATGTAAATCGCTACTTCCGCACAGGCACCGCTCTAAGAGCGCCTTAAGGATTTTCCTGTAGTGCTTGTGTTTTTGTCCTTATAAAAAAAAAATATCAGTCCATTTGGTCGACCACTGCGATGCTCGTCCTGTGGCAGCTCGTTTGGCCTCATTTAAACTGTGCTACCCAATATTTTACTGTTGTAAACGAAGGACCAGAGTAGAAACAGGTTCAGCTTTCATATTGGTTGGGTTGCAGCCTTTCAAATAAAAGTATTGTAACACATAACTATGACCAATTTTCTCCATTTTTACAAATTCACCGGTAAGTTCGCTATGGATACCTGCCAAGCAAATACTAAACAACGCAGCGTCTTCAAACTTGAATCATATGCTTTATAGAGTGTGTACATTCTAGTGATATTTTTCAAACTACTACCTCCATCTCAAGGTCAGGCCCGCTATTTCTGGGACTACCTTCATAAAACATAAAATTGTATCTCACCCGTTTGAACAATTTTACGGCAAAGCGTGGGTTTCACTACAGCATACATATTGTCTGGATTTAACAAATGTTCGGGAGTTTTCCTATCCGTGCAATTGATGATTCCTATCGTATATGAATTGAAAGGGTCTCCACATCTCGGATCATACTCAGAGTTACAATCGTAGCACTGGAGAGGATCCTCTTTTATTTCGGCATCAAGTTTTCCGTATAGGAGATTTTGGTTTTGGAATTGGGCTCCACCTGAAACATTTTCATTTCAATATACTTCTCAAAAATTTATTTTTGAAAGAACTTATACAGGGTATTTCAAATCCGATACTCGGAAACTATGAGAGATGCGAAGATGGTTAAATCGCGGCAAATTTGTGCATTTACCTGACTAACAATATGCCGTTAAGATATCCGGAAAAAATAGAAATTTCGAAGGATTCGAAAAATAAATGTCACTTCCACGTTGCCACTTTTTCCCTGCAACATAATGGTGTTTTCAGATTTGCTATCTCACGTTTCGTCTTACGGCTACCATCATCAACTTTATTTTTTCTTACGGGCGCTACATCAGATTCTTTTTGTTTTGAATAGAACCAAATTTTACCTTTTCAATGATGTATCATAATATATCATTATTCCTCCAAAAATTGGAGATATTGAAAAAAATTAATTCTCATCATAATAGGCTTTGACTTTGATGTTTCTGAATTTGACTTTCAATTTGTTACACTCAATGACATTTTGTTATTGTACAAGTCATTGGATTTTTGGCGAAAACTTACTTTCACGAATGAAGAAAAAAATGATATGATAGAAATGTATTACAAATACAATAGAAACAGTGTTAGGACATCGGAAATGTATTTAAATTTGTTTGGTTCATTGCCGAGGAAGAAGAATGGAGACAGAATAGACCAAGAAACTGAAGAAAATTTGATAAACGAGGTATATATGAGGTAACTTAGACATTGTGTCCTTTTCAATGAAAATGGAACTTTGAACAAATAACAATGATCCATTCAAATGTAAAGACAAAAGTAAATCACAGCAATTGCTCAAAATGCTGGCCTTGTTCATGATAACACAACTTCTTCAAATATTATTCACTGCACGATTAATTTTCCTCCTCCTCAATCTTCCGATCTCTCTAACAATGATGTGTTGAAGGTCCTCAATATTTTGATATTTCCTCTGACCATAAACTCTATTTTTCAGTGTACCCCATGAGAATGTATCCATAACACTGAAGTCTGGAGACCTTGCCGGCTATCTCACCGGCCCATTATTCCCTATCCATTTATCACCAAACCTTTCAGTCAGGTAATTAGATACTTGTCTGGTAGTATGCGGTGGAGCATACTACCAGACATGTTGGAACCAGATGTTGTTATGGTTAACCAAAGGTAGATCATCCAAATAGTCTCCGAAAATCGACATTGAAAACTGGTGATAGGTTTCTTCATTCAGAATTCCGTCAAATAAATGAGGACCAAAATTCTATCTTTGTAAATTCCGTCCCAAACGTTAATACTAAATCGCACTTGAGGTCGAATTTCTCGGAACTGCCTGGGATTGTATATGCTCCAAATGTGTTCGTTGTTTCGGTTGAATATCCCACAATTCGTGCTTTCATCTGTCCAAATTACATTTTCGAGGAAAACAGGAAAATCAGGCCAGTTACAAAACTCTAATCGCCTTTCGGGATCACCTGGATGAAATTTTTGAGATATATGTATTTTGTAATATTTTAAACCGCNATTTGTTGAAGGCTCGTAGAAGACAATTTTAAAACTTTTGAGAACTCGGTATACAGCGTGTCTCAAATTTAAGAGTTCAGTCAATAACTCAGTTATTAGAAAAGAAAAAATATTACTGAAAAAACTATTTGACGATTTCATTATGCGCAAATAATAACTGAAAGTGGTCCTGCTGCTATTGTACTTTCAATGGGACTGTTCTTTAATTATTGGAAGAATCTTTATGTTATAAAAGGCTGGTTTCCAGAGAATCTTCAGTTTCCATTGTTTTACAGTATTCCAAGAACTAGACTTGATATTTCATTCCACCAACCCTGTAACTTCCACAGTTAGAAAGATACCAATAAAATGTCATTATAAACTGGCCACTCGGTATATTCTACTCGAACTCCACACCCAATATATCATTATTTGCTTCTATTCAACAATTTTCATCAACACAGCTTACTTACATGTGTATTATAGTATTACTACACCTGTAAACAGTTTGGATCGCTGTAATATATGGGCGCGGTTGGATAATCAATTCTTATAGTTTCTATAAAGGCCGGCCTTGATTTATACATCTAAAATGAGCACTAACCAATGTACCTCATGCTTTACTGGATCCCATTTCATCAGCTCAAAAAACTTCAAAAATTTCACGTTTGCGAATCAAAGTTCAAGAAGTAATTCTTGATTTCCGTCAATGTCAAATACGATTATCGTATTAGACAAGTAAATTTCAAATGAATCAAATCAATCCTTCGCAAATGAAAACATCTGAATAATGGGAATGACAACCGCTACAGCAGCTCAACTGATATTCATCTTCAGAAGTAGTAGGCATTCATATAACCTTGCCAGTTCCGTAGTAATATAATTAAACGAGAAATTGTATACGAAGGGATTAAAATTACTACCGGTTGATAAAGGTAATTATCATAGTTAGCAATGAAAATGAGGGTAGAGAAAATAGGAATATATACAAGATACCAGAAGCATGCGAAGATATCGTTCCAAAATCAAGAAGCATGCCGCCCTTTATCATTATACAAAACCTCCACAGTTCTACGTATTGCCAAGAATAAATAAATCAAATCAAGTTGTAAGCCCACCTTTAGAATTTGATCTTTTTTCTATAAACTTGACAAATATCTGCTCCTCTTTTTGAGATCTAAACCTGGTAATTGTAATAGTTTTATAGAAAATTGTCCACTTCTGAGAGAGAAATTCAATTCAGTTGTATTCAACTTTATTGCTCCCAATTTTATTGCCGTTTATACCTAGACTGTTCAGAAATGTTCAAGTTTTGCGGGCTACCTACATTGGATTAGCGATTATTTAATTTTTTTATGTTGGTATAGCCGCCTCGAACATATGGTCACAAATGAAACTGTTCAGTTCATTGGGGAGGTGCATAAAAGTCAGGAGTGTTTGCATTTTCGGTGATTTTCTGCTATCGAAAAATATGGATCAAAGAATTTGCATCAAATTCAAGTACTCAAAAACAGTTGAACATGTTGACAATGGCATACGATGACTGTACTCTGAGTCAGAAAAATATTTGCAAGTGGTACATTGAAGTTCGCATGAGTATCGCTCAGGAATTGCTACTGCGATCTAGATTTGCTTAAAAGGGTCATAACCAAAGTCCAATCGTTCCAATTGGAGACCACAGGAGAGCCAAGACCACAAAAATCACGCCAAGTCCGATCAAAAGTTTTGCTCACCGTGACGTAGTGCATCAGCAGTGCTTATCACATGGTCATACGGTCAATAAGTAGTATTATCTTGAAGTTATGCGCCGCTTGCAAGAAGCCATACGAAGAAAACTTCCGGTATTGTGGCTTTTGCATCACGATAATGCACCTGTTCACTCGTCATTGCTTCTTCGTAATTTTTTGGACAAAAACAATACCGTAATCATGCCACAGCCACCATATTCACCAGATTTGGCACCCTGCGGATCACTGAGAGAGCCACAAGGACATACCAGAAAGTGCATATCAGAACTGATTCGAGGATTGAAAAAAACGCTGCCACAAGTGTATTATATCTGAGGGGGGCTACTTTAAAGGGAACAAAATATAAATTGATGCATAAATGAATATTTTTTGAGATAAATGAAAATTCTCTTATATTTTTCGAACAGCGTACCACCGATTCACTACAAGTATCAGTAATTTTTTCCACCGCTAACATTTTGACATCACAAAAAATAAGAGATATGTTTTCGTAAGTCATCCACCAAATTATTCATACTAAATGATTTCAATGAATTGGTCCATCTTCAGTAGATAACTCATAACTTTGAATTTTGATTAGATTTCCAATATATTTGTTAATTCATACTATTTGGTGTTTTGATGATTTGCACATTTTGAGAAAACTGACTTTGAATTATTTTTTTGAATATATTATACCGGGGCCATTGGTACAATAAACGATCGAACCAACACCTTTACGTTGATGAAACGCAAAATCTGCCGAAAACATCGCCGCTGTATGTGAGAGTGTGCAGGAGAATCTGAGGCAGTCGATTTCGCATCGCTCACAAGAACTCGACCTTTCACAGACCACAATTTGGGGAATTTTGCGTCGTGACTAGAGCCTGCACCCGTTCAAAATCCAACTGACCCAGGAACTGAAGGTAAACGACCAATGACAACGGCGTGTGTTTGCTGAATGGGCTCTGAAACAGTTGGTAACTAATTTTCATCGAAAAATCATCTATAGCGATGAGGCCCATTTCTGTATGAATGGGTACGTGAACAAACAAAATTGTGGAATTTGGGATGATACCAATCCGCATCAGATCCGAAAGCGTCAAATGCATCCCGAAAAAGTCACTGGTTGGTGTGGATTTTGGGCTGGCGGCATCATCGATCTATATTTCTTCTAGAACGTCGTTGGCCAGGCCATCACTGTCAACGGCGAGCACTATATAGTCAGAAAGACATTATCATTGTGGAAGATTTTTTTGGACAAGCTCTTTTATAAAAAAGAAGAGGCAGGGGACAGCACTCAAAGCTGACAGCTGACACTTGAATAATTGAATGCACAGTCAATACGTTATGGCCTTAGTAGCTGAGGCCATTACATAATGAAAGAGAAGAAGAATATTTTTGGATATTTTCATTCATATCTTGAACCATATAACCTCCAATATCTTGAAACTAAAAGTCTCGACTGTCTCGAGTATTATAAATTATGTGGAACAAATTACAGTTTAAATGGAAAATAGTTCATCTGATTGTAGCTCGGGCGAAAGAGCTACCGCAATTCAAATTTGCGGAAACGGGACATGTTCAAAAAAATACAAAAAGTCTCGAAAACAAACTTTTTCTCAACATTGGTTGTCTGATTCCAACTTGAAAGGATGAATTAGACCTATCGCGAATGATCGTTCAAGAGCTCAGTGTGACTTTACCTACGTGAACAAATTGATATTTATTTTATTTATTTTCACTTTTGAAAATCATTATTTCAATCTAAGAAATATTTGGTCGATACGAGAGCTTTAAAAAATTGACTGCTGTAAATTTTGAAAATTAGGCACCATCTACTGAGTTGCGCGGTTCAAAATTAACATGATCCTGATTCCTGACATTAGTGAAAGTTCAGTTTTGTGGTATCTGAACGGCACACAAAATACAAACTGAAAGTTCTGTGGTATTTAATTTTGTATAAGGCGCATGCGCGAACTGATTGCGTTAGATATACAAACGTAGCGGTATATGGAGCCGTGTAGCGGTATATGGAGCAGTGTAGCAGAGTTTTGGTTCACCTGTAGCGACTTCATATTTCATCCTGTTGGCAACACTGAGGTTGCTACAGCTGCACCCGTGACTAAGTTGGGAGTTAGTCTTTGTAATGACAAGGTCTTCCAACGATGACACGAAATCGCAGTTGGCCCCTGATGGTGATTCCGTTTGTTTGTTTTATGATCCTTTTCTGGCAACCAAGTGTTGTCTATTTTTTACACTTGGCTGTACCGTATTGACGAATGCTAAATAGCCAGAAACACGTGTCTGCGGTTTGCCCACTTTCATATCCATCTCTCAGATTCACAGTATGTGAGAATTCACATAGTATGTGAGAAAATGGTTAGAATCATCAAAACTCTGCGTTATTGGTAATGAAAAGTTTCCGAATGAGAGGTGGTGTAATAACGTCTTGCTTATAAAAGAGAACTCAGTGTTTTGCTGATTTTGCGATATTTCTAACATCCTCAGGTGGTAATTCGAACTATTTTATTATACTACTTCCATTTTATTGATTTTTGGAGCGGCTATTCTGTTTAATTTTTCATTTGAAGTTCCGAAGGAACTATTGATGAAAGTTATATATCGAATCGAACTGGTTGGTGATGTACGTATAAAAATTCCAGTTAATAATTTATTCCGTTTTTTGTGAATTCAATTTTTATACCATTAACAATAGTAGCACTTTTCTTCCCCTCATTCCGACATTTCTCAGTTGAATGTGATTATGGATATGTTTCTATTCGATTAACAAAATACTTAAATGTAGCATTAATTTTCAATGCACCAGATACGCGAATATATGCATATTCAGATTATCTCCTTTAGTCAACTAGTGGAAATACTATTACAAAAATATTTTTCCAGTGAGCGGTTTTTTCCAGGAACTAATCAAATTAACCAGTATTTCAACCCAGTTTACTTTTGAGGTTAAATCGATTTTCCCCACTTTCTGCAGCATGCAAAGTATTATATAACCGCTAATTGAATAAAAAAATTAACTTAATAAATATGCCACATGAAACAGTGATCATATCATCAATTAACATTCAATCAATCCAAAATATTACTCACATGAAAGAAAAAAACATCCTAGTGAAATCAAAGCCAATCGGCTTGAAGCACAAGAAAACATGGTTGATTATTTTTATTCCACAACATAAACAACAAATAATCAGTTCTTATGAAATAACAGAGTAATCTACTGTTTTCAAAAGAGTACTACAAATGCGTGTCTATCTGCTCGACTTCACCAATGTTCAGGACCAACGTGACGTCACTATTACTTCCCCACTTCGACGCTGTTACGTCATGAGCGTCGGATCGATCACTGTACCGGTCGGTGTAAACCTACAGAAGTTATTAGGGTAAGGTGTGTAGAGGGTGGTAAAAAAGTTTAGTCAAAATCACGTTATTGAAAATATATTAAAATTTCTTCAGTGACAGTCAGAAATATAGAAGTGAAATGCAAAGATCAGATTTTGAAACAAATTCAAAATTCTTGAACATGAATCTAATTTAAAAAACTTTAAAACACGCTTTCAAAGAACATAGAACTAAAAAGTTAAAAACAATTTTTTGAATAATCTTAAAACAATAACGAACGAAAAATACTAGTTATATATATTTATTTTTCATTTTTTAGTTTTGTACGCTATAAAAGCGTGTTTTTTTAGTATTTTCAAACTATATTTATTTTATCTATACTTTGGGATCAATCAGCCGTATATTGTTTAGAAAAATGCCCAAGGCAGTAGGCGCGCAAAGAAGGGTTACAAATAAGGCAGCAGGTGCGCGTGTTGACAAAAAAAATACTTTTTTCAAATGAAGGAATACATGTAAAGTGAGTTCGAATTATATCAAGGGGTTACGTACAGCGCCATCAGCCCGCTAATAGATCAAGCAATAATGTCGATATATCAAGGAGGTTACGCACAGCGCCATCTGCCCGCGAATAGATCAAGCAATAGTGTTGATAATTCTGTCAAATACAGATCCAGAGCTTGAGAGTTACAAACAAACAACCATACATACATACAGGTGAAGCTAATAAAAGCGTGTTGAAAATACTTTTTTCATATGAAAAAATACATGTAAAGTGAGTTCGAATTATATTAAGGAGGTCAGTTACAGCGCCATCTGCCCGCGAATATATCAAGCAATAATGTCGATAATTCTGTCAAATACAGATCTCGAGCATTCAAACGGAAATAAATGGAGAGTTACAAACAAACATTCATACAGGTGAAGCTAATAAAAAGCGTATTAATAGATCGATGAATATTCGTATTGTTGAGTTTCAGCCCAAAGTAACAAAAACGTATCATTGTACTACTTGGAAATGAATAGTAGTATTAAGGTCTTTATATTACAATACATAATGAAATTTGGAACAATCATGAAATACAAATCAATTCAGAGAACTAAGATTATAAAAAAAAGGGAAGAAGAAAAAAAAATCACCTCAAAGGTGCTGCTTCGTTCCCTCCTGTTCATAAAAGAGGACATATGCCTCATCGCTCACAAGTGATTTTGGCGAAATTGTGAACACGTGTGAATCGTTGTATTCATGCCACGTGCCACTATATGGGTGGTTGTCCCCCTGTGATTTGAAAGTACATATAGATTATAACGACAAGGAGCCACATTGTCTGCTGCATAATTGCTCATATCTAATTCATCTATAGTCAATTAATAGTGTTGTAGAGTTTAGCCAGTAAAAAATTACATAAGAAAAAAGATTATTTATCAAACCAATTCAAAGAAATTTCATAAAGCTATAAGACAAAAATAGATAACTGAACGAAAAAATCGCACGAGCTCTCCAAAATGGTATCTAAAGTATTTGGGAAAATTTTGAACTTGCAGATTCTTAACAAGTTTACGTCCGCTTTTCTTTGTTTTATATACTTCTCAGTTCTCGCAGTGCCTTCGTCATACTCGCATGCTTTTTTTTGGTACCTTGGGAGCTGTCTGATTTGTCCATTTAGTCCAAGTCTCTAGAAAACACTGCAGCCTCTTGAGGCTTATTGCGTTTATTCTCCCATCTTCTCATAACACCCAATCCATCAGTCTCGTTCCTGGTACTAGTTTGTACAGGTTCCGTGTTGGATGTTCGTCATATTCTTCTGGGCGTAATTTTGTACGTCCATATATTGCCTGCCTCCTGTGATTCAGTGCCTCACATTCGCATAAGATGTGTAGAGCTGTTTCTATCCCTTCGTTGCATAATCTGCAGCTAAGGTCTCCGTTGTACAGCCCCATTTTATTCAGGTGTCCTCTAAGCGGGCAATGACCGGTTAGTAACCCTGTAATTATTCTGAGCCGATCCCTACTATATTGAAGTAGTTCTTCGGTTCTTTTCTCGGACGGTTTCCTAATGAAGGTTCTACTGTGTTTGTTGCCAGGTACTTTTGTCCAATACTCTGTGTGCTTCTTATTGGTCCATGTCCTAATCTGGTTTCTTACCAGAGCTGGTTCAGGACCTACATATGAAGTTGATGATCCGCGTCTAGCGCATTCATCAGCTTTATCATTACCTGTGATTCTTGAATGCCCTGGCACCCAGTTCAAAGTTGATTTGTTCCTGTTTGCAAGTTCATTCAGTTCTTCATAGCATTCCCAGACCAGTTTTGATGTCACCTTCAGGTTTGTCAGAGCCCCTAGTGCGCTCTTGCTGTTTGTAAAAATATTGATTCGCTCATTTATTTGAGGTAGGTACCAATTTAATAAGCCTTGCACACTGTAAGATAGCATACACTTCCGCCTGAAAGACGGATGTGTATAGTCCTAGTGGATAGCTGTAGTTTAAATTTCTATCCGCTCGGTATATTCTAGCTCCCGTTCCATGTTTGGTCTTCGATCCATCTATAACCCTTTCAGACCCAAGATCAAAAAAATTGTATTTTCTGAGCGAAAATCACATTATATGCTAAACAAGCTATGAAATTGAAGAATCAAATCATGTTTTTGAATTCAAAGGACAATCTACAGGATTTCAAGGACACTCACAATTGTGTTGTATCGTTCCAAACAATTAAACCTCACAGTTGTGATGTGATTATCATTAAATAAGAACATGTTGTAAAATATTTTATTAAGAATTATCTTTTATGAAATTTCATAAAACAATTTTGGTCTTTACCAAGACACAGGTACACGTTACATTTACTACACCTTGTTCTTGATCGGCTACTACAGGCCTCAAGGCGACAATTCAATGGATGCTTCAGGCTTTCACTGATGGGCCAGTGATCGAAGCAGTCATACCTTTTATCCTTACATGGCATTGGTGTACATCTGGTTTTTTTTTCGTTAGGTTTGGAAGAATCGTTTTCGTCATTTTCATCTTCCCTTTCGCGTTTTTTCGTACCACAAGAAAGGAATTCGGCCAATTCCAATCTGAATNGAAATCAACCAATCCCAGAAGTCTCACTTAATTTTTTTTCATATCATCCAACCTGTAGGCTCAAATATCAACCTTTATTGTTGACATCATGCACTTAAAAACAGAAAATAACTTCAACTGAAATTAACTTACTTGCTGAATTCATGTTGATGCACGAATGTAAACAAAACACTGTGAAACGCTTCATACAGGTCTGCTCAAGTTGGCTGTTACGCGTCAAATGGCGGAACTGCGGCCTTCTGCGCATCAATACGTATCCTCACAATCGTATGATGTCGGTATGAACCTATTCGATCGTAAATTTGATCATATTGTGCGGCATGTAGTTCACCCTCACAATTGTAACTACCAGGAACGAAAGGGATATACCAGGTGTTTTTTCCAAACATGTTTTCGGGATGTTTTCTTCCACTCTTCACGGCTTATGATTTTGGTATGTGCTCCTCCACTCGTTCCGAAATTTCTGTTCGGTTCGATCTTTTATAGTTCGGTGAGTTTTCCAGTCTGAATTGGCCCATCCTGGCCTCCCCCATTATCACAAGGTGTGAAAGAGGTAGATTCAGGAGTGTCTCCAATGCAGCTGTTGGGGTAGTTCTCATTGCTCCCGTCATTCCCAAACATGCAAGTCTTTGCACCTTGCCTAGTTTGTTGATGGCGGTCGCCTGCTTCACCTTTGGCCACCAGACCATAGGTTTAACCACCATCGTGTATAGCCAATATACCATGTCTGGTTTTAGCCCCCATGTTTTTCCATAGGTGCGTCTGGCGAGCATCAGTGCTACCTCCGCTACTCGCATGCTTTGTTACGCCGACGATACACAGTTGTATTTAGAAATCTATGAAAATTCACACAATACTGTGCTCGATCAAAAGAGTCATGATTTGCACTCTGATAAATGTCTCTCTGTGAACGCATCTGAATCTTATATGATTCTCTTTGGCATGATATAAGATTTAGATGCGTTAAGAATCGTTGTAGCGAATTGAATTATATTTCTATCGATGGGGTTCAATTACCAAATAGATACTTCACGAAAAGTTTAGGCCTACATCTCGGTAATTATCTGCGATTCACTAAAGATGTTTCACGGATTTTGAAAAAGGGTTATATGAATCTAAAACTAATATACTCGAGTGAAAATATTTTGAATAAAATTTTACTCTGCAACGCACATGATACTATGCAGATAGTGTTTATGATCCAGGACTCTTGAAATATGACAGGCAGATACTTCAAAAACTGCAGAATTCGCATAAGACTTGTCCCAGGTATCTCAATATCTGAGACAATTGGGTGGATGAACATAAAAAATTATCATTTTCGAGGCTCTTCTTATAACGTTGCACGCCTATATAATCGGCTACCCATCCAATTAAAATCAGTACCACCACTTAGTTTTGAGAGAAATCTAAAGAGATATATGTTTCAACCCGACCCTCTTTTTTTATAATATTAATTAGTTGATACCTATATTCAATATTCATTTATCATAAACATGTAGAGTATACCAAAATTATGATAACTTTACACATTTAAAAGATCAACTTCTCATCTACCCGCCATTTGTTAGGTTAGTTCAGTATCTCTGGTACTCGGTAACCTTTCATTGAAAGTATTATTCATTGTTTTTGTCATTATTATCATTGTTATTCAATTTTTCAATGGTTTTAAAAAAAACTCAAACAATTATTTTCATTTCATTCGAGTCATCTCTTCGTTTTAACAATTTACGTTTTTTTCCAGGTAATTTGTCGAAATTATTTATTCAAGACATAACATTCCACGCTTATTGGGCAAAACATATTTCTAATACCAATATTCCAGATGATATTTTAAGATATAGTTTGACTGTTGAACCATGGCTGGCGATTACTGATAATTTTTCGAGAAATCACAAGTATTCACTGACTCGTACACTAGATGGAACTTTTTTTTTATAAATTGAATATTGGTGGTTGTACCTCTCATTCGATGGGGGTTGAAGGTAGGGGTAGCATTTT